GGGCTTTTCTGCATTAATCAGTTTGAAACAATCCCGAGGATGGAATGGGGCTTAGATACCCAGGTCCCACGCATGCCCCGTGGTGGTTTGCTGCTTCGATATTATTAAAATTTAATGATGCCTAGATAATTGGCTCCATTTTTTTGCCGGAGCTTAGACCCACAGCCATTATCTGTGTGTTATTTTGGAACTCGGAATTATCTGGCTTGGTCTAAGGTTAATGTTGAAACTAAGGAAATGGTGTGGATAAGAACATTCCTGTTGCGCGAACTCACATCACGCGGCGTCCCCAATTTTACAGCAGCAAATTAGGTACCTAAGAGATGATTTGCTGCATTTTTTTCACTTTTGTCGCATATAATTAGCATTTTGTGTTCCCTTTATAGGAAATGGTGAAGTCAAAACTGTCCTTGGATGAGGATCTGCAATCGGATGGATGGATTCCTGTCTCTCTACTCTGCCCTCTCGCTCTCACGCGTATCAAAGTGAGTCCAGGCATATTTACAGCAATGCTATTGCCCCACTAATATGAATATTCGCCGCACGACCGGGACTGAGATGCTTTTAATGAGGGTAGAATATCACGAAATGTCTTCATACGATGCTGGTAGTTCTCTGGTAAACGTCATGCGGCATTCCGTTGATAATATGTTTAAGTGGACTACTACATGTTCACCTTAATTTCTGAGGGAAAGTTTTTGGTTGTCGCAAACAGGATTTGTTCGTATGCTATGTGTATCTAGGGTTTCTTGTTGACCACTGCTCGTTACGCCATTTGCTCTCGGCATATTTTTTGTTTAGTTAAAGTACATATTATTTTCACCCAGCAACGCATTTTCCACCCTCATTTTAGCGTAATTTAGTTAAGAAACCCCCGATCTGCGATACGTTTCATGATTTTTCTTCTGGCATTCGGGTGAGCAGTGGCCGTGCTCATCTAGCCAATAGAAACAGGATTATATCCGTGTACTTGCGAGGGTGCAATCGTGATTCGTTTATGAGGAGGTCGAGTTGTGTTGCTTCTACCAGCGCATCCTCGAACACTTTCAGCGCTCGTCATGTTCAAATGACCAAAAGATGTGCACATTGACTAGAAGTCACATAAGCGCAATGAATGTCCTGACATGCGCACCGCAGAC